GTTAAAAAATAATGATTTTAAAAATATAAGTTATATGTCATTTTGTAACTCTATTAAAGGCCTTTTATTAAATATTAAGGATTTTTTTGAAATAACATTGTTGCGGTTTTTATTTACATTATAAATTTTAAACACAAAAATTCCAGGTGTTTCGCTTTCCAAATTTTTTTGAATTTAATATTTTCTTATTCTCTAACCTTATATCTATTCATAAAAAAAATCTAAACTTGGGACAGTCATGGGTTTTTAGTTATTACGATTTAAAAAATCAAAAAATAAATATTTTTTCAAAAATAGATGGCGCTCCTTTATAAAATAACGTGTTTTGTTATAATTATTATTTTTTAAAACTTTTTTTCACTTTTAAACATAAATAATAAGATTTTCCAGCATTAATATCATGAAATGAGATTATTTAGCTGCGATTATAATCATTTTTTGTAAAAAATTTTAATTTTCGAAAAATTATTTTATAAATTTTAAAGATATAATAGATAAATTAAAATTAATGAAAGATATTACCTATTTTCGGTTTTTCATTAAATTTAGTTTTTTTGACGCCATGAAAATTTTGTTTTGCGATAAATTATATGTACGCCCAGTAGCCATTGATGGGCTAACTATTGTTAAAATATTATTTTTTGATATGAAAAGGATATTTTGTGCAGCTGGATAAACAAAAGAATTTGCTGGTCCTTTAGGGTGAAGAAAATTAATTTTTACTTCATCTCTAATTGCATTCACTTCTTGTACAAATCCTAACAACCAATCGTTTTCATATGCACATGTTACATATCCTCTAATCTCATCGATTATCAGATCCTCAATCAAATATCTTCACATGGATATATTGACATTCGTTGCAGTCACCAAAATAACAGATGGGTAACGGGGGATTGCAAATCATTCTGCCTATAACATCTCTATAAGTTGTTAATGTATCCTCAACATTTTTAGTCAATGTTGCTAATTCACAGCTTAAAATCATAAGTTTAAAATTCTGATGTATGCTACAAACGCATACACTATGTGTTCCGCTAGCCCCTGCTAATATACAATTTTTTGGTCTTAAGCTAGCAAATTTCGAAAATCCAATTGTTAAGTTTGAATTACTCGCCTTAAAATGATTATATAATTCTTTCAAATTATTAAGAACTAACTAGTGTTGTTAAACGGCTCGTTTTGAGCCGATTTTTAAAAACGGCTAACTCAATATTTCACCCAAAATAATATTACGCAAGCCTGAAGATTTTGCTTGTAGAATGAACAAAGGTTTGGACATCTATCAACGAAATCTCAGGGCTTAGGCAACATTTTTCTGGCTAAAATATTGAGTTAGCCGTTTTTAAAAATCGGCTCAAAACGAGTCGTTTAACAACACTAGAACTAACCTTTTTTGAGCGTTCACTCGTTCCCCCTTTTCAATGATAGATATGCAATCTTTTTTCCCTGGTAATATCTACTAACTTTATCAATGCAAAAAAAATTTTTAAACAATATCAACTGTTTTTTGATTGAGATATTTCTCAGGCTTTCGATTTGGAGTTGAAAGACTCCCCTTTTCTTCTAAAATGATTTTGGAATTATATGCCATATGATATGTAGCGTTGAATGTCGTTTTTATTTTATTTGCGCTCCAATTAGGAGGCAGAATGGTCAGCAATTGATATTTTTTATTTTAGATAAATTGGGATATTGTAATTTCATGTTATTGAGTATATCATTATTATCTTTCGTATCCGAATCTGGATTGTTAATTATTATATCTGTAATCGCTTTTGTTATTTTTGCTGCCTTTTTTTTGGATAATTTTTTTCGGTTAGTTTTTTTTTCTTAATAGGAGATATTCCTATTTCATTTAAAGTTATATTGATTTTATCTATTGATGTTGATGCTGTTATTTACATATTCACTATCAGAATTTATATTTTCGACCTTTTACGGCATTTATCACAAATATAATGTTCCGCCTCAATGTAATATTGTGTCATCCACGTCATGACTTTGCGCAGGTTCTTTTTATAATTATAGTGTTTAATTCTTTAAAAGGATTTACGCATTTATATTTATACATTATAAATAATTTTAGGAAGAAAAATAATTAATATCAAATTATTTGTAAAATAAAAATTAATTAATTAGGGCAGGTACATAAAAACTAGCTTTTATCTTTCAACAATTAATTATTATATTTTCTTGTATGAGATATCGGAATCTTAACTATCTTTTTAGGTAATTTAATCATTTATTATAAAAACTAATTTCTACAAGTTATCAATATAGCAATAATAAGTAGTGATCTGCATCGAGCCTAATTTTTCAAGCCCGGCCCGGCCCGAAATTTTTTTAAAAAAAGTTTCGCCGGCCCGGCCCGAATTTATTTAAATATAGGAATTAATTTTTATAATTACTCAAAATAAAAGACATATGTTATATGTCGTTTAGTTTCAATAAATAAAATCAAATATTTTTATTTTACATAAAAAATTCAATATAAAATTGATAAATTTATATATATATTTAAAATGTTTCCAAGATCCGACCCGACCCAGCCCAAATTTTTTTCAAAATATTAGCCCGGCCCGAACCCGATTATTTTAAATAGAATTAGGCCCAAAGCCCGTCCGGGCCGGGTCTAACTTTGCAAATCTCTAATAATAAGTAAGCCTATCAAACGATCTATATAATATTTTTTCCTGATAGTAATGATGGAAAATCTTATTATTTATTTTTAAAAGTGAAAAAAAGTTTAAAAAAATAATAATTATAACAAAATACGTTATTTTATAAAGGAGCGCCATCTATTTTTGAAAAAAAAATTTATTTTTTGATTTTTAAATCGTAATAATTAAAAAACCCATGGCTGTCCCAAGTTTAAATTTTTTTATGAATAGATATAAGGTTAGAGAATAAGAAAATATTAAATTCAAAAAAATTTGGAAAGCGAAACACCTGGAATTTTTATGTTTAAAATTTATAACGTAAATAAAAATCGCAACAATATTATTTCAAAAAAATCTTTAATATTTAATAAACGGCCTTTAATAGAGTTACAAAATGACATATAACTTATATTTTTAAAATCATTATTTTTTAACTTATCTCAATTTCAAAAAATCGTATTTTCCGAAAAAGGTCATTTTTGGCACTTTTGACCATTGATATCTCTGGAACTATGAGTAATAGGAAGCTAAAATTTTGGATTCGATGCTTTCAAATGATATTCTCTCAGCATACAAAATTTTATCGAAATTAAAAAGGTCGGGCCGAAAAGTTATCGATTTGGTATGGAATTACCCTAATGTTATAATTTTGAATAAAGGATGAAATTGATTTCATGATTTCGTGATTCCTAATTATTATTAATTTCTTTATATATATATATATATATATTTGTTTTCTTTTTTTATTTTAGGTCTCAAAAGCCTTACTTTCAACATTCCTAATTATTATTAATTTCTTTTTATATTTAGGTTTTGATTCACAATGACAATCTCCTCCTTGTGACAAATATAATTGCTGAAGAGATAAAATTTCATTTTTAATATAACTAGAACACAAATAACATGCCAGCAAATTTTTATTGAAATTGAAAGAGCTCAGCAAAAAATCTCAACTTTCTTGCTCATTTGACATTGAATTAATGATCCATAAAAAAATAATACAAATATGCTTATAAAAATTGTAATTTTTGGATTTATAAGTGAACACAGGCCTTATTTGAAAAGTAATTTGGCCAAGCAAATAATTATTTTTCAGAAAAAATTTGCTTAATTTGTTTGGCCTAGCCTAATATAATTTTATGAAGGAAAACGACATAAATTTAGCTAATAAGTCATTATTTTTTCAAAACTTAGCTTGGTTCATTAAAATATTGTTCAGAATTTATCTAGACCAATTAATTATAATATAAATAATGTTATTATATTTAAAGAAGGAACTAGATCCATTACATCATTCATATATATTTTTCAGGGGGTAATCAATGCCTTTAGATATGCAAGAAAATTTTATGACTAAAAAGATCCCTTTCACAAAAGGTGGGATTTATTGTAATTGATTATGTTAACATAAATAATGCATATATATAAATTTTTTAAATCTTAGCCTATCAATTATGTCCAATAGATTTATTTGACATATAAAATTACATATAAAAAGATGGAGGTTTATTTTTTGAGCATAAATTTTGTAAATTAGTCAAAAATATATCAATGAATAACTATAGACCCAGCTGTATTGTTGTTAAAAAGCCCGATTGTGGTTGATTATAAAAAAATGGCCCAATTAAGATTATAACCAAAAACACTATGTGAGCCTAAAGATTTTACACATAATTGGCAGAAATGCTTGGACATCTATTTGACAAATCTTGATGCTTACATAATATTAATTTAGTAAAATCTTAATCAGGTCATTTTGAAAAATCAATCCAAATCATGCTTTTTAACAACACTACCCAGCGAGTCATTTGACAACAGCCGTGGTACTAACAACTAATATTCTCCATCTTCTGTCGTTGTTTAAAAAATCAATAACAAATCTTTGCAAAAAATATTTATTAAACTATATTCTACTCTCCACTTAAACTAATTTTAGCTACCAAAATTAATTATAATTTTTTATCCAGATCTCATGAATATCAATAAAATTTTGAACGAAGATAATGATTTTGAAAGTTGATTCAATGTGTCAAAAGAGCTAGATGAGGTGTCATATCAAACCTCCAAAACCAAAAGTTCTGACAATTCTATATGTATATATATATTTGAGTTATCAAGAATCAAGATTAAATTATTATTAAAATGATTGAAGTTCAATTGTTAATTTTATTTTAAAAAAAGGTAAATTTTTAAAATAACAAGTGCTAATTTTTCAAAAGTGTGCTTTAGCCCCTAGCTGGCTTGCTAATGACTTATTTAGCAAAATATATTACCTATTCATGTTATTCTTTACTTATCACTATAAATAACTCTTCCTGATTAAAATAAATAGTATACTTTATTGTAAAAACAGCTTCAATCAAGGCTCTCTTATATATTGAAACAAACACCCTAGAATTTCTTTTTTTGCTATTTTGTATAACATCATTAGCTAAATAGAACATGTTTAGTTTCTGTTTCGAATTACCTTTAAATAAAAATCAATTTACCTAAGCAAAAATACCAATTTACTTTTCTTAAAAACTTTAAGCCAAATTTCAATAATCTTTTCACAATGTGCCTTATGATGAAGAATCCATAAAGATAATGTTTGCACACTGTCTTGGGTTGAGTTAAGAGCATAAAACTTTTCTTTTAATCTATTAACATCGAATGATCCACTCATATTTTTATTCATAGCGAAAGAAAAAAAAAAGCTTCTAACATGTGCAATACAACGAAAATAAGTTTTGTCAAAATAGACACTAGTTTATGTGACTTTCTTTATTTAACTTTACATGACAAAAATGTTGTTAACCGTGTATTTCAAGCACTATGTTAGAATAATTATTTTTCCAAACTACTTTTATTCTTTCTCTATATACTAATACTATTAATAATCTCATGTCTCCAGAGCTGTAGCTAGGAATTTTCAGTAAGGGGCCAGCTGCTTACTTGAGGGGGCCACTATTTTTTTAAAATAAAACAAATAATTAAGCAACGACGATTTTTATTTTTAAATTTTAGAATAAATGAATTAAAGGATAAATTTTGTGTTATTTTTTTTTATTTAGCCGTCAATACTAAATTTTGCTTACGTTGATCTTTCATCGACTCTTTAATACTCGATAGAACTCTCTTTATTGTAGAGAAAGAGGTCACACAAGAAGTCGTTGGTACCCTAATGATGATGGCTGCTGAGTAGAATTTATACAATTCTTTAAATGCATGATGATTTTTTTTTACTTAATATTTAAGATATTTTCAAAATTATGTGTTTCTTTAACTTCAGCAGCTAATAATCCTTTAGCTATTTATATTTCATAATACAACCTAATAAACGATCAACACAAAGTAATCAATAATTTCATTAATTCCTTTTTAAAGAACTCCTGGAGTCTTTTACACAATCAAATTGTAATTTGACTCGATTAAAAAATCTTGAAAATTTATAGACGTCTTACGTACCCTTGATGAATTATCGGGAGTAAGATTAAATTTTGCTTAAGGTTTTTCAGCCTTAATTCTAATCAAATCATAAGAATTACCATTTATATTATTTTTTTAATATATTGATAGTGTAATCAGGCGCGTACGCAGGAATTTCGTAAGTAGGGGGGGGGGGGGGGGGGGGGGGGGGTAAGAGGAATAATTAAAAATTTTTTAAATATAAAATTATTGTTATTTAAAAATTTCAAGCATAAATTTATTATATTAATAATTATTTCTAATACACAATTTTAAATTAATGTGAATTATAAAAAATTAAATATATAAACCGGCATATAAAAAACTATAAAATAGATGTGAATTAAAAATATTAATATAACCGGGGGATGAGAAATTTTAATATAAATGTGAATTATAAAATAATAATTAGAAATAACCACGAGCATATAAATCACTATAAAATAAATGACCCAAAAATAGAAATTTAAATTTTTTGAACCTTTAAAATTTAAATATAAAGTATAAAAAATTTAAATGTTGGAAATATAAATTATTAAACAAGTTTCTTAAGAATAATTGCAGCAGGCGCGTAACCAATAGGAGGGGAAAGAGGGGAATTCCCCCCTCCCCATCGCAAATTTGACTGTTTTCATAAATATCATTTTAAGCTAATAAATACTTCCCCCCCCCCAATCAAAATTTTACAAATATTTTAATATCAATTATCCGACATAAAACTTATTTTTTATAAATAAATTTTATTAAAATTTCCTTTCCTTGTGAGTACATTATCATTATTTTAAAATATTAATAAAATGGAAAATTTTTTAGTCAAAGAGATTGAAATCAAACGGTAATTAATTTTATATTATAGCTAATTATTTTAAATTCAAAATTATTAGTGAGTTAGATAATAAGTATTTTTAATAATATTTTAATTTTTAATAAATATCTATAATTTTTTAAATATTTTTTATTTTTACTTTCATTCTGTAGAATAGAAGAAATAGAATTACAAATACAAATGTTAAATAAGGCTTAGCATGAAAAAAAGTAATGTGTCGTCAGAAGCGATATCATTAGAATTCAATTGATCAGTCAGAGTTTATCATTGCTGCTAGTTGCATCAATAAATTATTTCCTTAGAGCTCGCTACTTTGTTGAAATTTACAAAAACTAAATTTAGATTTGATTCAGGTTATTGATTTGGCGGAAAATATATATGAACAGGTAGATACAATAAGAATGAATGTAGATAAAAATTTTCATAATATTTATCTAGATGTTGAATCGAAGGCTAAATTTTATAATATAACACTAATAAAACCTCGTCTAGCACCTAGGCATTAATATAAAATATCCATTTTCATCCCATCTTAGATACTTATTTATTGCAAATAAAAGTACGGTTTTTAGATAAAAAAAACAAGTCTTTAGCAATCTTAGAGTTTATTACCCAAAGATCCTTCTTTGTTTTCTAATGCCACTATTTGTAAAATTAAATATTTAAAATTTTATTCCTTTGATATGGATACTGAAGTAAATTTAATCAGTGAATTCGAATTTTGGTATAATTATTTACTACGTAGCTATTTTACCTGAGCATGCTATTGATGCTCTCAATCGGTATAAAGAAACCTTGGCTTAGTTTACTAATATTTTGAAATTGATTCATATTCTTGCATGGTTGCCTATTACAACATGTAGGAATGAAAGGACTTTTTCCAACTAGACAATGTTGAAAACATATTTACGAAGTACTACTTCCGAATCTCGGCTAAATAGGCTAGCTCTGTTAAATATCCACAGAGATTTGGTTCCAACGACAAACGAAATTCTTGATGAATTGGCAACATTCCTACGAAAATTATAATTATAGTATTTAATAAAAATTTTTGTATAATATTGTGTTTGATAGGAAGTTTAAAAAAAACTTGTTTTTTAAATTATTATATAGTCAATATTTTATATACATTACTATTAGTATTTTCAATAAAAAAATTATATTCTACTTATATTATATGAGAATTTAAGCTGAGGCTAGTTTTTAAAACAAATTTTATAAAAAAAATAACATTAAAATTTATTTCAACTTTACATTTAAAAAAACTTTGTTAAATATAATATACCTAACTTAAAAAATAAAAAATATGCTTATAAAATCCATAAGCACGAATTAATAAATAATAGTTAAAAATAGAAATATAATTATTATTAAATTATGAATAATTTAAGAGAATAGCTTAAATATAAGACCAGCCGGAAGGCCGGGGAAAAGCTGGCCGAAGGCCAGGTGAAGAGGTTTGGAGGCGAAGCCCCCCCAAAAAAATCACCCCCCCCCCATAAGAAAATCCTGGATACGCCACTGAATAGCAATGACGTTACTAGGGAGTAACGCGTAGGGGCTCGAGCCCCCTAAAAAATTTGAATAGCCCCTTGAAGCAAAATAATTTTTTATTTTAATGGCTCCTTAATATCCCCTCGAACTAGAAATTTTTTTTTGATTGCCCCCTAAACGATTTCTTTTATATTCTATTAAGAAATATATAGATTTAATTTCATTATTTAAAAATTAATAAGACTATCTAAATTTTTATTAAATGAATACTATTTTAATTATTAGATTAGATTAGATTAGATTAGATTAGATTAGATTAGATTAGATTAGATTAGATTAGATTAGATTAGATTAGATTAGATTAAATTAATACTTATAAATTATATTTTCACTATGTCAGCTTGCAATCAAATTATGTGTTAAAAATAGAATATCAATATCACTCACTAAATATTAATTTAGCTTTAACAATTGAAGATTAATTGACTTTTATTATTTAAATTATTATATAACCCTAATTAAATAAATATAATCATATATTAATTTAAACAAATTTAATATTGTAATTAGCCGATCACTAATCAACTATATTATTCATTTTTAAATTTAATTACCTTGCCTCTTCTTAAAAATATTTTTGAAGTCCAAATAAGTATAAGAGATTATAAAAAGTAAGTAGACATATAGTTTCTGATCCTCTAATATAATTGGTTATAAAATATTAAGTAAAATGTCACTTTTACAGACGTATTTGACAGTTATATAATATATTACTTAATATTTTAATAAATTTTACTAATAAATGCTTTTGATAATAAATATAAGTAACAATTTGCATTCAATTCTTTAACGCATCTTATTATTCATCCCGCAATGGTTTTAATAAATTAGATATCTTTTCTTCTCTTTATACGTGTTTTTAGGAAAGCTATTTTTTTCTTATTTGGAAAAATGTTTTGAGTTAAATTTTTAATACGAGTATATTTTTGATATTATTACAAGCTACTATTATTTTAAGATATAATATAACAACTAGAGGTGATGCAACAATAATATATAAAATCTTAATTGCTTTCATCATATCACTCTGGTTCTTATTTTATGTTACAAAATGTTTCATTTCTAATATGGCATCCTTGTTGTGTAAATAACTCTAGGCGTCAAAATATTTGCATAATTTCTTCTAAAGATTTTAAGTGTTTTTGTTTTATCAATTTATCTAACATAATAAATTATGATATGAGTTAACATCGTGAGTGTCATGGCTATGACAGCAAATATACTAACAATTATAATTATTTGTGTGTCTATGTAATTTAAGATTATTACTACAGCTGCTAAGAGCATATGATTGTAAATTTTAGATAAGCATGTAAATTTTAAATAAGCAATAATGGTCCACTGTGTAGTCGTTTATATATCATTAAAAATGGAAGATAATCTTTTAGAATTTTAATATTTCACAATAATTTTATCGATTACTTATCTAGCTTCCATCATGTCATCTAAGAGGAAACTCTAATCACAATTTAGTTTCATGATTTAGATTGGTCGTTTATATTCTCTTCTTCAATAAATGTTGATTTGGTTAGGCCCAGTGGCGTCGCTAGGGGGGGGCGCAGGAGCTCGAGCTCCCTGAAATTTTGAATAGCCCCCTGAAGTAAAAAATTTTTTTTAATGGCACCTTAATATCCCCTTGAGCTAAAAATAAATGTTTTTAATTGCCCTCTGAATAATTTATTTTATAATTCTATTGAGTAATATATAGATTTAATTTTATTAAAAAATTAATAAGACTATCTTAATTTTTATTAAATGAATACTATTTTAATTATTAGATTAGATTATTACATATAAATTATACTATGTCAGCTTGCAATCAAATTCTATGTTAAAAATATAACAATATCACTCACTAAATATTAATTTAGCATT